GACACTTTCATTATTGAGGAATCCCAACTCCAATCCTTCAGAGGAATGACATTTTAGGAGCCTTCAAGGAGAAGCAGATGTTTCTCTAGTGAAGAAGGCAGAGAAAGATGGTCCAGGCAAAGGGACCAGCATATACTAAGGGACGAGAAGGCCTAGAAAAGAATGAACATTTAGGAAGTGTCTAGAGGTCAGCTAAATTAGAGGGTTCCCAGGTAGTGCATGGCAGGGCGTGATGGGAACACACTGGCCATGGAGGGCCAGGTCAAGTCCAGATGTGAAAAGTGAAGGAATCCCTTTGTTACAGGAGGACGAGGGGTACCCCAGGACCTCCAAACCTGTCTGCTCTAAATAGGTTCTGCCACCCAGCACATCAAGACAAAACGTACTCCAGTGCATAAAAGCTTCAATGGAAAACAACTTTATTTTTTTTTTTTAAAGATTTATTTATTTATCTATTTATACAAGCACTGGGTACAGTCAGAAGCGCGAGAGGGTGAGAGAATTCACCAGAGCCAGAGCAGGGAGCAGAACAGGCAGACTGACCAAGTACACTGCTGAGGGGAGCAGCGGGCGGCAGGAGAGGTCTGCGGGCCATGCGGGACCCTCCTCCGGTGACCGGGAGCAACCGGGGATCGAACCAGGCACTGCAAAGGCTGCAGGCAGCTTCGCAACCCAGCGCTCAACCGCTGCTCCACCGGGGAGGCCCTGAAAAACAACTTTAATACAATTAGTGTGCAATAAAGAGAAGAAAAACAGGAAGAATACAGTTTCCAAATCAAGCACCAAAACTACCACCCATGCGCTTGTGGGTAAATGCCCAGGCAAACAGAGTTAGCTCAAAACAGGACGCAAGTCTAAGGCATTTCCTGGTGGGGGCCCATAGGAAAGGGGCAAAAGGGGCCAGGAAAGTCTAGAAGGAAAAGAGCAAAATCAGGGCTTCCCCGTGGCGCAGCGGGCTGAGCGCAGGGCTGTGAAACTGTCTGCAGCCTCTGCGGTGTGGGTTCAATTCTGGCAGGCCAGGGAGATACCCACATGGCGCGGCAGACTTCTCCTGCATCGCCCGCTGCTCCCCTCAGCAGTGTCTTTGGTCCTTCTGCCTTTTCTGCTCCCCACTCTGTCTCTGGTGAATTCTCTCACCCTCCCCTGCACCTGGCCTATACCCCAGATCTTGCATAAAAATAAAATAAAAAACAAATAAATAAATAAATAAAAAGAAACAAGCAAAATCAAAATCAAAACCCAAATCAATATAAAGGCTGCCGGTGTCAGCCTCCCCACAGGTCTCTTCCCCACATCTCTGTCTCTTTCAATTGTCTCCTTCCATGTCCCCAAAGTTCCTGATACAAGCCCAGGCCAAGGAGCAAGTACAGCTTCTTCACGTGTCTCCTGCTCACTGTCTCCTCCAGGTGCTGGTCTTGGTATCCCCTTCCTTCCTTCTCCTGCCTTCTCTTGCTCCCCGTCCCTGCTCAGCTCCACACTTCCATGACAGGGCAAGTGAGACACAGGGCAAGCTAGAAATTAGGCAGTTTTAGGGACAGTGCAGGAGGGGACCTCTGAAGAATTTAGGGATTTTCTCCTCATTAAACTTTTTCTTTCTCAAAACAAACCTGCCTCTTCTTGCTTGCTTGCCTGAGAGTCTGCGAAGTTCCTGCTGTGGCTTCGTGAGACACCAACCCGTGGGGGTCTAGTGGCTGGGACTCAGTGCTGCACCTGCAGCCTGGGATCTGTTCCAGGCTGGAAGACTAGGCCTGACAATTCCGGTATCACAAGGAACCTGGAAACTCCCCTTTCCTGGGGATTGCCTTGTTACACCTTCAGCTCTAAAATCATTCCTGTGTATTGGCAGCAAGGTAGTTTCTCCCTGTTTGGATAATATTAAGTATTCACCTGCAGGAGGGTGGGGGAAGAACTTTCAACAATGCTTAAGAGAAACCCACACCTTGACCATTCTCTCTGCTATCTGATGAGCACTAAATTAATTTCCATATGAACGCATGATGTGGAGGTAAGACACAGAAACACGAATTACAAGAGACACTGCCAGCTCTTATTAAATTTCCCAGAAACACAGTGTGTGCATTAATTAGTCTAAAGCACCTGGAATCTAATGCAAGAGAGATTTACAGGGAGCAGCTGTACAGAGATGGATTAACCCCAGAAATAGGTTTGGCTCTGAGGCTGATGTTTTCTTTTCCTCTCTGAATGGAACAAGATAAGATACATTACTTACAAAATGTAACCATTTCTGGCAGTTTTACCTCTGGTTCCTGCCTCCTACCCCCACCCCAAGTGCTGCCAGTCACAGAGACTGGTTCTGAACACAAACCCCAAAGTTAACTATTAGCCGCCTGGGGCCTCTTCAGCTCAAGCCCCAGAGATGCTTGCGGGTGAATTGTGCAAATCTGGGGGGAAATGCCAGTTCCTGATCCTCTCAGGCTTGGCCCTGTTTTCTGTCAATCCAGCTTTGCATGAGGAATTGAAGAATTTCCCATATGGCCGAAGGCACCAAGGCACCATCACTACTGGGCTTAATCCTAATGCATTTTTTAAGTCCCCCTTTTTTAACCAGGCGCCAAGGAGAAAGGATCAACTTGAAAAAATTCTGAACAGGCACCAAGGAAGCAAGAGGCATGAATGCCACTTTCTTTGAAAGGCTGAGGCACTGGGAGTAGAAGAGTTGTCATAAAATGCAGGCTAGAGCTCCAGACCCCCTGGGCTGTGACTGCGGCCAAGGCCAGTGTGGCACCCTCAGGACAGTTGTGACCTGCCTCTTTATGCTCCTGTGGAGAGTTCAGCAGGTGTGATGGGATTTTTTGGAGTTAGTGGGTTTGGAGTGCGGGGTCCTTGGGCTCACTCTGGGAAAGGTTTCACCAGAGCTCCCGTTTCAGCAATACGCGATGAGTTTCCCAGGCAAGTTCCTCCACGAGAACAGAGACATTGGTTATATTTCAAAAGCAGGTTTGTTAGGGAAAGGACAGAAGAATAAAGGACACTTGCATAGACACAAGCAGGCAGGAAGAGCTGCCCTGAAAGGGACAGGTTGGCTAAGAGAGGCCTGCATGTTTGCAGGCAGGTGGCCTTGAGGAGAGCGGCCTCCGCTGAAGGAGGTCAATGAGGGGAAGTACAGGTCACGGGCAGGTAGGGAGCTGCTGCCCTGCAGAGGGAGAGGGTTGGTAAAAAGAAGCACCTGCATAGGCACAGAAGGCCGAGAGATTGCTCCCAGAGCCTGTGCAGAGACTGCACTGATAAAGTCTTCTCTTGTTTGGGAGGGGCTCACTCCTTGTGAGCCTTAGGTTAGTTGCTTATTTTTTTTTTAGATCTATTTATTTATGCATACAAGAGCTGGGGTACAGGCCAGAGGTGTGGGGGGTGAGAGGTTTCACCAGAAACAGAGTGGGGAGCAGAACAGGCAGACTGACTGAAATACACTGCTGAGGGGAGCAGCGGGCGAGTCAGGAGAGGTCTACTGCGCCATGTGGGTTGCTCCCTGGCTGGGGATGGAACTCGTCCTGCAGTGGCTGCAGATAGCTTCATAGGTTGCATCTTAACCCCTTGTGCCACCAGGGAGGCCCATTTGCTCATTTTGGATAACTATGTAGAATCTGAAAAGGACAGGAGATTCCACAATGGACTTGATCTCCATATCTTTACCCTTGAACCTTTGCTCTGGACACTGCCTACAGCAGCTTGATACCTGCTTGGATCTTATGCTTTGTAATTTGGGCTTTGGCACCTAAGGATCTTGGTTTCCATAGCTGTGTCAACAGCTATGCTAATCTCTTCTACCCCCAATTCCTGTGTGAGCCAGGTTGCTGGTCTTGTGGGGCCGCCTTTGCAGTTTTGCTATTCCTGTCCTCCATCAGGTGTATACCATGTGAACAGTCTTGTTCTGGAAAGAACAGACTTATTTTGCTGTAATCTTGCTGAGTGATCATGGGCAAGTCACTGAACCCCACATTTTCCTCCACTGTTCAACAGAGAGGTAGAGTGGCATGATCTCCAATATCCGCATAATGTTAAGATCCTATTATTTTACTAACAGCAACCTTATGCTTTCACATTGTGGTGGACATGGTGATGGGCCTCCCAGATGGTCCTTCTGTAACAGGGAGCTTCCCAGGAAAAGGGGAAGTGCCAGATTCCCTGCCCCACCCAAGGGAGGTTATAGCTGATCAGGGAAGAGAAGAAGCTGAAGAGGAGACTGGAGAAGGAAGGAAGCAGGATGGAGAGCCAGAAGGAGACCTAGAGGAGGCACATGGAGTGAAGAGACATGTGAAGAAGCTGTGCTTGATGTTTGGTCCTAGACGGACTGAAACAGATGTGGGTGAGAGACCAATGGCAGCATTGATCTTGATTTTGATTTTGCACTTTTCCTCCAGACTTGTCTGGCTGTTTCTGACCCTTTTCTATGGGTCCCCACCAGAAGGTGCTTTAGACTTGTGGCAGACTTTTGGGCCTCAGTGGCCCTGCTTTGGTTCAACCCAGTTTGGCTGGGCATTCACCCATGAGGGCATGGGTAACTTTAGGTGCTTGATTTGGAAACTATATACTTTGTCTTTTCTGTACTGCACACTAATTGTATTAAAGTTACTTTCCATTAAAGGTCTTGTATGTTTTGTCTTGGTGTGGCAGACGGCAGAACGTATTTAGAATGGGCAGGTTTGGGGGTTCTGGGGTGTCCCTCTCTTGCCCTGTAACACTTCAGTGAAGACCTTATTGTCCAGAGTTGGAAAGTGTCACCAGGAAAAATTGCCTCAAATTGCCTAAAGCTATATACCAGAGTCAGTGATGCTCCTCAGTTCCGCCTGAATAAGCAGCCTTCCTGCTAAGCCCCTTCATGGAGTCAGCTTCCGAGAAAGCCCAGCCTGTCAAGGTCACTCCATAGAGTTGTACAGTTTGAGCCTCTGACTGCACGTCCCCCCAGCCTTCCTCCCTCATTGTAGAGGAAATGAAGTCTCAGATAATGACTTGCCAAGTTCATTCTATAAGCAAGGCTGGGACTAAGTCTTCAGTTTCCCACATCTCAACCAAGTCCTCCTATCATTACTCACTGATTTCCTCAACTTAAACCACTTTTCTTTGCATATGGAGAGAGAGAGATGTGTAGACAGAGAGATAAATAGAGTCATCCATCCATCTCCTCTGCGAGGAAGAATAATAAGCAAATGCATGCATTCATGAGCTCATTGCCTCTACTTTATATAAATAAACCATTGGCTTTTGTTTGAGGGAATTTTTTTATGTCCTTGAGAAGCCATATCACATAAAGACAATAAGCTGTGGCTCAGGAACCAGGAAAGGCTTCTTATTCTCAGATTCTCATTCTTGTGCTGCAAATATGCTGCCATTTGAGAGTAGGATTTTTTCAGAATCCAAGACTGATGGCTGGGGGATAAGAGTGGGGAAGGGTAATCATGTTATGAAATGATGGTTCCACAAAGATTGATGTCATTGGGGAAAGCAGTGTGAAGGAGAAATAGGAATTTCTGTATACACACACATATTTGTATATATTTATATACATATATTTATATATACACATTTATATTTTATATATGTATTTTTAGCAATATCTTGTGGTCAAAATTATTTCATAAACATTTGATAATAATAATAACTCTCAATGGTTTCAGTTATTCTCACAAAGAGTGGATGACTTGAGGGGTGGGGGAGGGATGGGCAAGATACAGAGCATACTCACAGCACCTCGTTGCCAAGCTAGTGTATTTTGAGTGCCACTCAGTGAGGTAGAGGTGATGAAACTTGTTGCACCAGGCATGTGTTTTTGAAAAACATGCTCTCTATGAAAAAGCTAAGGGACGACATTCTTTAACCAAAGCACTGAACACTGTCTGCTACAGCACCTGTTTTCTTGTTTGGGTTAAATCACTCCAGGTGATTTAAGTCAGACCAGCTCCTTCATTTCATAGGTGAACAAAAACAGAAACCCTGAGAAGAAAACAGCTTTTGCAGGTCGGCCAAAGAGTGACTGATTTAACAAAAGCAAACAATTCCAAATTGGAAATACATACCTGGTCCGTGGTCTGGAGAGCACCCTCTTCTGTTTCAAGAGCCCAGGGTGCATGGGTGGGGAGGAGAGCAAAAGCCAGCTGCCGCTAGGCTCCCCGCCATGTGCACTGGCATCGGGACTGCCCCATGCAGGCTGCAGGCTCCAGCCAAGAGTGGCCTGCAGCATGGTCAGCAGGTTGTCCAAGGACGGTCATGGAAGTCACGTCCTAAGAAAGGAGCCAGAAAGCAAGAATTAAGCATTTCCAGTTTTATAACTAAATAGCATTCCAAGGTACTATCAACTATAAATCAAATGTGATGTTAAAAAGGAAAAGAAACGAATCACCTAAATGGAAATAACTGTCTCCGATCAAAATATCTTGCAATTAAATATCCATTTCTTCTCTAAGTTCTAATTTTCTCTTAGGAGAAGTCAATGTTTTTGCAGTGACAGTCCAAAGTCATGAGGAGAACAGTGTGAGGTTTTATCCCTGGCACTGAACATTTTAAAGGTATATGTTTTTAATAACGCTTTAAACTGAAATATATCTTATTTATAATCAAGTGCATGAAAATTGGTTTTTACGTTTTATAAACCTGATAACCACTGCCCCGCTGACCAAGACCAAGAGGACATTTCCTGCTCCCTAGAAGCTTCCTGGAGTGCTTGGATATCTAAATAACATTAAAATATTACGAAAATGGAAACCTCCACCATCCGGGTGGCTAGCTCATCCCAAACCTGGCATTATCCTGAAGACAGGCCTCCTAAGACATTCAGGCACCCGAGCTCAGAACGCCCCACCCACTGCCTTCTCAAAACAGGACCATGCCTTGAGAACATCTTATTGACAAGGTAAAGGAAGGCTAAGGCCTAGGGTAAGGCAAAACTTTATTCTTTGCTCCCTCTAAGGAGCCATGTGGAATGGGGGATTGCCGCAGACCAGCTTTCAGCAAAATGTCAGGTCTGAAGTCCTTGAAAGGAAAAGACGGTCTAGGTGCAGCGAAAAGGACTGAGGGGAAGGGGATGAGGCAGTGAGGAGACACTGACACTGGATGAGGTGCAAGTATCTTCTGCCGAGAGACTCAGCAGTTTCTTTATACTTTTTTAGCAAGCCGTGAGATGACAATATCATGTGCATAGAAACAAAGCAGAAACAATCAGTGCATCCTTTTTTCCATAGACTTTTGGCCACTATGTGCTCTCAGTAAGAAGGCAACCTTCAAGGTTAATAAAAAACTAAGCCTTACACTAAAACTCATTGTTTCAGTTAAACAATAACCTAAGACAGTGGATAGCCGCCAGGACACCCCTATCAGCTAAAGCCTAAGCAAGAAAAGACTTTTCTTATTCGCATGGCCTTCAGCCAGGGGACCGGCTGCTACTCAACTATCAGAACTTTTTCTACCTAGAAACTCCTTAACTCAAATAGCTTCATTAAAAAACTTTCCCAAGAAGCTTCAAGAGAAGGCAAAAGAAGGACCTACTATAATTGTTGTGCTGGATTGCTTGTCAGGCATGTACAATAAATTGTCTCCCATTGTCAAGTGGGCCAAATTGTTTAATAACTAATTTCTAAACAGATAATTTTCCGTGCTGTTCACTTACAATATGCTGATACGTGTAATTTATTGCCTAATATACTTTCTGATAAATTTTTCTCTTTTTGTGACCAAGAACAACAAGCAAAGGGTTGTTAAATCTTCAGCCCCACGGTGTGAGGCCCTTTTTCTTAGCTGCTTGCTAGTACCTTATCTGACTGGGCCAAAAAGGCCCCCTGCAGCCGGGGATGGTGAGAACCTGAGGTTTAAGGAAAACCCGGCGTTTGGGGATGACCTGATAGTTTGTCTTATAAGTTATGGTTTTCAATAAAGAATATTGAACTTAAAAGAGTGTTCATCAGTTTGTTTAATCGCCACTGGGTGGTAGAAACATACATCTTGAAGTTGAAAAACGATGCTTCTGGTGTGTTTAAGTCCCTAAACTGATGTTTGCAGGAAGTTTGCCTTTTCTTTCTTCTGGATTGTAGAATCAAGTGCCAGGTATCAACTTCCATTCCATTTTTTTTTTCCCCAGTGGGAAATTTTCTTCAATTCTCAAGTCAGGATTTACTAATATTTGAAGCTGCTGTCACCTGATGATTTTGGAACGGATTTCCCCAACCTTCTTCATTCCAGTACACATTTCAAAATCCTTCATACTTAGAATCTTCACCCTGAAGATTTCTTCTGTGAGGGGTGTGAAATAGAAAGTTGTGGGCCTCCCTGGTGGTGCAGTGGGTGGAACACTGCACTGTGAAGCTGTCCGCAGCCTCTGCAGTGTGGGTTCGATTCCCGGCCGCCCAGGGAGAAACCCACATGGCACGGCAGACCTCTCCTGCCTCTCCCGCTGCTGCCCTCAGCAGTGTCTTCTGTCTGTCTGCCTGTTCTTCTCCCTGCTCTGTCTCTGGTGAATTCTTTCACCCTCCCATGCCTCTGACTACACTCCAGTTCTTATATAAATAAAAAAAAATCTTTAAAAAGAAATAGAAAGTTGCCTATATTTTCCAAAATTCAAATCCTAGTTCATAAAAGGGCTTCAATCACTTTCCCCACCTCTCAAAAACACTGTCTCAATTCCTTCCCAGTGCACGTTCTAGTTGGGAACTGAACCAAACTATATTAAGGACAATTATAAATAAAAGACTTGAAACTGTGGATCAGAGGGAGGGATAGTGGAGGAAAGAGAATTGTAAATAGATGCCATCATTCCTCATAGGGCCCAAATCAGCCTTTGGAACAAATAAGCCAATTTAATTCCTCTTGTTATCTCTCATAAGTGAGAATTTTGAGGAAATACCAAATGCCTGAGAGTTTAGGACATTTTTTTTCTTTTTCTCCAAGTGGGAGTTGGAGTTATGTGATTTCAGCAAGGTTGGAGGATGGTGTGTGAGGATAGCAAGAGGTTCCAGTGGAGCTCAGACTGAAGTCCAGCCCTTGCTATGCAACTAGTGGGCTCTGCTCATGCCTTGACACTTGTTTTGACAAGGTAAAACTTCTATTTACTTCTATAGAGATGGGTTTGCTTTCTGGCTTCAGGAAAAAAAGATTGTTATGTGTAGATGTCTAAAGCGAGAAATACCACCTTGGCCCAAAGATCTATTTATTGTCTCATTATTTGTACTCCCATTTTTACTACGTTTCTCTAATTATATAATGTAAATATCACACATTCATTGTGAACAACTCAAACCATTTATAAAATATGAAACTTTTGAAATATAAAAATATAATAAAAATTATCTTGTCATCTTACCATAATAATAAGCATTAATATTTTCGTGACATTTTTGCATGCATCTCTTTACATATCTATGTGTTTTTACATAAACAGCATTTAGCATAAATGATAATTTTCCTGGGATATCTTTCCACACCCATGTCAGCAGATTTATCCCCATCTCCATTTTCCCCAAGTAACACACGTATCTTAGCCAGAAAAAAACTTGAGGTTTTGCATGCAAATAGTTTATTTGGGTTCATTACCACGGGAACAGGAAACATAAAGCAGGGAGTGGAAGAAAAGTTGATACCAGGGTGCTTTACTGACCTGGGTACTGCCATGGGCAACTGGGGTTCAATCTCCCTGGGGCCCTCGAAGGAGCTAATTCTGTGGAATACAGAAAATTATCCACCGATGGAAGGAAAGATGGAGGGACCTATTAACTCGCTGATTTCTATCTCCCATAGATCGAGGGTCGCCACATGGGCTATTAATTCCCTCTCCTAGGTTGTACATGAGTGAGCAGGTGCCAGACCAGTGCAGCAGTCATCTCACAGAATGGCTTCAGAAAGGACCTGAGGCAGCAAGTGACACATAAGGTGCAACTGGACTAAGGTGGTGGAAGGTTATACCTGCATGAAACTGCTCACTATGAAACAATAAACTATAGCAGTAAAAAGGTGAACTGAAGGGATAGAAGACATGAGGCCTGAGAAATGTCCCATACAGTCTACTCCTTACACCACTCAGATCTATTCACGCACTCTGTGGAGTCCAGTCAGTCACAGTCTTTGATGTGGTGGCCAGTGACAAGCTCTACAAAAGACTCTGTTAATGGACCAAACCTCCACAGATGCATGTGGTCACAACACCATTATTAATGTGCTTTGTCTCTTTCCCACACAGTCATTCCAGATTCCACTCTCCCTGGAGCAAACCTATATTCTTCATCCCTGCAGAGTGGGAGACTGAGTCCCTCACCCCCATCAGGACATGGTTGCTGCATGGCCCGTTTGTATTTCTACTTGGCAAGAAGCCCCAGTTCTCCAGAGTTTCTACACATGCTCCTTTCTTACTCCATTGTGCAGCAGCAACCCTAGCTCCTCATAGTAATCAGGGTCAATTATTCCGAAAACGATCACAATAGAGTTCATTATGGCTCACTGGCTCAAGGAATATAAATGCTTAGGCAGTAGATATAACATCAAATCCAGCAGAACCTTGCTGGTACAAATATGCCTCCCAACCTCCCACCTCACGTCCCTGGAGAGCCTCTAATCTAATAGGGTGAAGGTGTGGGGTGAAAAGTATAAATTCCTCCAGTGCATCATTAGGAGTAATGGTGAGAGTGGCTGATCCTTCTTCACCTCTTAGTTGCAGGATCCATGCTTTCTCAATATTGGAACACAGATTATATATTGGCCATTACTTCAATGTGTATAGCACATGTTGAAAGCTGTCTTCCACCATCTCAGAGTGTTTTGCCCAAGATAAAATGTTAAAAGTTTTTAATGTCTCTCCTCCTTCAATTATGCTGTCAACTTCCAGGTGACATGCTGTGTGGTAGAATCAGTGATTCCTGCAGACACGCTGCCAATGTCATACTTACTTCACCATAAAATGTGCCCCTTATCAGAGGCAATGTTATATAGGCTCTATGCTGGTGAATCAGGCAATCTGTTGGCTCTTGAAAGGAGATGCTGGCAGTCAGGGAAGGGAATCTTACATCCAGAATGGATGTCAATTCTTGAGGCATGTCTTAATACATGCACTCTCGAGAGAATTCATACACAGAGGAGAGGTCTGCGCGCCATGTGGGACCCTCCTCTGGTGGCCGGGGAAATCGAACCGGCTGCTGAGTGAAGAGAACAAATCACTCTCCATAACAGAGTAAACTGAGTGAAGAAATCCACCTGTTACCATGTTGCTGTCTGGTCTACTTAAGTGATGTTATCACAGCAAGAGCTTGACTGTGATTTCTTTGACTGGAAATCTGGGCATTCGTGAGTGAAAGTGACTGATGAATCACCCATGATGAGAAGAAACTCATGCTACTGGACTCAGGTATGATTAAATCACCCTTGATCTCGATTTCTATGACTTTCAGGGACTGTTGAATAAGCCCTGGGGTGACCAACGAGAGAGGCTGAGTGTTATCCACACAAAGGGGACATGATCTGTGGTAGGTGCTCTCTGAGGTGAGAACTAACATGAGACACAAAGGTCTTAAACCCTGTGTCCACTCCCATGGACAAAAATGCCTCATTTCCTAACTTCCTTTGACGTTCATCTTCTCATCTTTCTCCTTTTCAGCACTGAATCATTCAGAATGTCACAAACCACTGCCAGGAGTCTATTTTATAGCCGTAACGGAGGGAGGTCAACATTGCCACCATTCAAATTAAGTCATCAGGGCACTGCCTGCAGCTCTTGCCACTCCTCACTGTCTCATTGGGTGCTCCTGGGTGAGGCTATTTAATGAAATTGTAGCCCTGGATATCCCATTACATCTCTAATCTTAATATCTTCCTCCTAAAACATATGTTCTTATAAATGGATGTCCTAACATGGACTGATATAGACATTAACAATGATTTCTTGATTATACTTATGTAATGACCTATGGCTGATTTGATAGATATTGCTCATTTACAAAACCCTACTGTTTAACTAAAATTCAATATCCCCAATTTTTTTTTCCTTTGGGCATAGGGATAAGAGGATTCAGCAGAGACAGAGTGGGAAGCAGAACAGGTAGATTTACTGAAATACACTGTTAAGGGGAGCATCTGGTGAGATAGGAGAAGTCTGCTGAGCCCTAGCAGGTTCAGCTCCCTGAGCTGGCCTAGATTCAGGCCTCAGTGGTGACAGCGCTGAGACTTCACCTGTAGGACACCAGGGAGGCCCAACAAACCAAATTTTCCTTACACCTACCATGTGTACTACCTCTATTGTGTACTTGGGAAGATCCCAGGTCACCACTTATTTGGTTCCTGCTCTGTAAAACGCCCAGGTAGAATTCAGAACAGAGGCAGCAGACATGTGAAGGAATCAGGGCCTGAGGGGCCTGGGCAGTGAGTGGTTTGGCTAAAGGGTTTACACTAGTTGTAGATCTTCTGCATAGGCCATAGCAAGAAGGAGGCCAGCACTATGACAGAACTGGACGCAAAAGGAGTGAAAAAATTTGGGTGATACAAAACAAACTTTATTAGTATTTCTATAATGAACAAGAAACCCTGGAGGAAATAAAATGAAAAAAACGTGAAATCAATTAGGAAACAAAGATTTTTGAATTACAAGAGGAGGGCCAGGTGTCAGTGGGTGGAGGGTTAGTAGAAGTTAAAGGAGGATATGTGGCTAGAGAGGTGGGTGAGGAGAGGTTTGGGGTCAGCGGTGCTTAGTCAGCACCAGAGGTGGGCAGGCAGGACAGGGGTCAGGGAATGGGACCCTAGAGGAATGGCATCAGGTGAGCACCCTCTGCATATGTTGTTCCAGAGCAACAGGAGAGCCCAGCAGGCCTGCTGGGTCAGACAGACAATGCCCAGGGTACTGTAGCTGTTCCTGGGCACTCTGAGCTCACTAAACGCCTACATAGCCTGAAACCCTCCAGATTCCAGCAGGATGTCCCCAGGCTGCTGAGCTAATACCAGCCCTGCTGGGGAAACCAGTCCAGGACCTGCAACCTGTGGGACAACCTGCTGGGCATAAGCACACACCACCTGTTTGTGGGGAGCCAGGCCCTAGCCAGGCCCCAGCAGGGCAGCTGGCAGTGGTGTGTTTACACCAGCCCCACCGCGGGAGACAGGTAGAGGCCAGGATGCTTCAGGAGCTGCCCAGTGTGGGCAGTTCACACCCCACCCATTCTGGGGAAGCCAAGACTGGCGCAGGATCCCAAAGACTTCTTTGAGGATTTTGAGATAACAGGAGTGCTGCAGGAGGAACCAGACAATGACCAGGATGCTGCACCCCATGGGGACAGTGCTGAGCTCACTCCACCCTGCTGGAACAGCCAGGCCCTGGCCAGGAGAATGCAGCCTATGCAAGAGCGTCCTGAGCTCGAACCCCACCTGTGGGAGGAAGCCACCTCTGGCCAACATCCTGCAGGTTCAAGTGAGGGTGCGAAGGCAGCAGCAGCCCTGCCTGGGGAACCAGCCCCTGCAGGGATCCTGCAGCACAAGCAGAGACAACCCCGGTGTCTGCTTCTCTCCAATCAGCAACTTGGCTGGGCTCTGGCCTGTCCCATGGGCTGCAGGGGAGCCCGACTGTACTCCTTGAGAAGCGGCTACAGATGCAAGAGGACAGGCCATCAGCCACACGCCAGATTGCCACTTGCCTTTTCAAACAGACCACATGCTAGAGCCCTGAGCAGGGACCACCCTAAAATAGGGGGCCCTTGGGATTCTGTTCCTCAAATGAGGCAGTTGCAGATGCCAGGTCAGACTGCTCGTGGTCCAAATCTAGCCCGTGTGGTCTCCTCCAAGGGCCACCTGACCCTACCCCGCCCAGCCGGGCCCATGCACCAGCCTGGGCCACTCACCCTCGGACGGCTCCTCCAGGGATTTCGGGTACTGCAGCCAGTTCCTTTGGACATGTGCCCCAATCTCAAAGTTGCAGGTGCACTTCAACCTGGGCTCTGTGCTGGGACAGATCCCACACTGGGCTGTGGGAGGACAGTCGGGGAATTGCACTCTCTGGATCTCTTCACCTTCCTGGACACAAAAGACCTCCTGGGAGTAAACAGACGCACCTGCTGGGTAGCAACCAGCTGGGGCAAGAGGGAGCAGCCATGACGGTTTGGGTCCCACCACCAGCCAGGCTGGTTCTGGTGTAGACATGAGCAGACTCCTGGGTGGGCCAGACCCTCCTTCCTGGAGCACGCACACACTCACTCTCACCGCACGCACACCCGCACTCACAGGGGGAAGGGAGGGGTGGGGGCATCAGAGCCCTGGCGTGGTCTGACCTGTCCCCAGGGCCCCCCTAGTTACCTCAGGGGCAGTGCTGGTGCTGGCCCGAGGCGTACGCACAGGCTCCTCATGCCTTTCGGCAGAGTGTGACACGAGTTTCGTGGACCTTTTTTGGGTCCACTGCGGGGAGACCTGGGCAAACAGCAAGAAAACGTGGGGCCGGGTCCAGGCCCACCAGGCAAGTGAGCTGGGTCAGGTTTGGTTCAGAACCAACTGCCTGGGGACCAGGGTTCCGAGGTCATGTGTGCCCTGTCATCTCGTGGAGGTGATGTCACTTCCTGGGTCCCCTTCCCTGGACTTCCTGCTCAGACAGATGTCCCCCCCCCGCTCCCCCCCAGCCCGCCACATGGCTACCTGGGCCACTTCCTGTTGGCCCTCCATACCAGGCTCTTCTCACAACACTGACAGCAGCACAGCCTCCCAGAGACCTTGGATGGAGCCATGCAGCCAGGGACAACCTGGGGACCCAGGTCTCTGGCTGCTGACCTGGCTCATCCTCCCTGCCAGGGAGCAGGCCCTGCAGCATCGGCAACTCCAGGCTCCTGTCTCCCATGGGCCCAGAGGAGCTCCAGAGTGTGGAGCCTCTCCCTGGGGAGTGGGCCACTCCTCTCTGCTGCCCTTGGAGGGGAGGCTGGTGTCAGGCTCACAGCACTTGGAGGGTCCCACCCGGGGAAGGGCACCTGCACACGCCTCACCCAGGCCTGGCCAGCCCTGCTGGGGGCAGAGACATCTCCCACCCGGGGTGCCTGTCCTCCCACCCAGTGTACCTGTCAGCCCTGCTCCTCTCTGGCCGTGCCCTACAGGGCTTTGCGGGCCCAGTCAAGGTGCCAGGGCCACAGACAGTGCACACCTGCTGGCCACAGATTTCTCAGGGCCCCCAACCTGCTCACACACCTGCCCACCTGCCTGGAGGTTGTATTGACTTGGGACTGGGTTCTGACTGGGACGAGGCCACCCAAGGCAGGGGGTGTCCACTCCAACAGTGACTGATGCCAGCGAGGCCTCTTCTGTCTCCTTCCCTGTCCTCACTGGCTGACTCTCCCTTTCTCTTTCTGTATGTCCCTCTGATGTTCTCTCTCCCCCTCCTGGTCTGTCCTCATCTCACTCTCTGTGTGTGTCCCTGACCCTCTTGGCCTCTCTGTCCCTGCCCCATTCCTCTGTGTCCCTGTCATAGTCTCTCTCTGATCCCCAGTGTGCAGAGGACCAGAGGGAGGGAGGGAGGAGCACAGGGGACTGAGGTGATGGTGCACGGGTGCCTTGGGGAAGGAAACTCTATGGGGACTACACCTGAGGGGGTAGGTGGAAAACAAATAGTCTTTACAAGTGAAAAGTGAAGTTAAAAAATAAAAAAAAGAAGAATATAAAAAAAAATACAATCACGCCTGCAGGATCCTCATCCTGTCTTGGTTTCTGCAGCAGTGGGGGTGTGAACTGTCCACACTGGGCAGTTCCTCAAGCATCCTGGCCTATACCTGTCTCCCGCAGTGGGGCTGTTTTGATCCTGTCTCCTGGAGACAGCATCAAGTTGGGTTTTGTTTTTTGGTACAACCAGTCACTCTGTGTCTTTCTCTTTGGTGAGTTCAATTCATTTCCATGAAGGGTGATGACATGATGACTTTCTACTGCGCTTTTGTCTTTAGTCAAATCCAGGCAAGAAATGTGTGGTAGGGACTCCCCGGTGGCGCAGCGGTTGAGCGCTGGGTTGCAAGGCTGCCCGCAGCCTCTGAAGCATCGGTTCGATCTCTGGCTGCTCCCCGGCCACCGCAGGAGGGTCCCACATGGCGCGCAGACCTCTCCAGCCGCCCGCTGCTCCCCTCAGCAGTGTACTTCATCAGTCTGCCTGTTCTGCAACCTGATCTGGCTCTGGTGAATTCTCTCACCCTCCTGCACTTCTCACTGTACCCAGTGCTTGTATAAATAAATAAAGAAAGAAATCTTTAAAAAAAAGTTATATCTCAATAAATTTGCTTTAAAAACATAACAAATAGGGTCTACAAGTTGCCCTGTGTCTGTCCTCTACTGTATCCTCATCAAGGGCTTGTGGGGCAGGGAACTGCCTGAGCCCATGAGGAGCTGAGCACAGACGGTTTCACTGGACAGAAGCTGTCAAGGCGCCTCCTCTGCGTGGTCCTGAGTCACGCGATGAGATGCTGACATCACGCTGCTTCTGTGATGGGAGAGACTTTAGGGGCCTTGGGTGGGAGGCAGCTTATTTTTCATGTGGGCAGAATGGAAATAATGAGTGTCCAGAAGGTCTACTGTGTTGGTTTTCAATTCTCCACCAGTTCTGGGATACACAGGAGGGGAGACAGCTTCCCCCGTGAGTGTGTCTGACTCGCTGGCTCTTCCTCGTGAGGAGAATGAAGCAGAAGGGACGCGCCACGTCACAGAGTCAGGCTCACAGGGGCTGAGACTTCCCGCCCGGGCTCCCTCCTGGTCCCTCTCTGGGGTGACTCCCTGCACACGGTGGACCCTCAGCTAAGGGGACACCCACAGGACAAGGACCTGAGGGTTTTCTCCAGGAGCCACATGCAGGAGCTCTGAGGCAGGTCCTTCCACGCTGATCACGGCCATTCAGAGTCGCCAACATCTCGTCCCCATCACAGCCTCGTGGGACCCAGAGCTGGAGCCTCTGAGTGAGGCCCCTCCAGCCGCCTCCCCCTCAGAGACTGTGGAGACGCCAGATCTTTGTTTTAGGTGCAAAGGAGGAAGAGATTTGGTACAAACCAGTAAAATATTCAGGCGATAAAGTGATCACTGGCTGTTTTCTCACAAGAAACAGTGGAGGCCAGAGTAGCTCACGTGACCATCAAGGTCCTGATTGCAATGAGCCGTCAGACAAGGAATCCACGTCCTCTGAAGTGTCCTTCAAAATATGTGATTTTTAAAAATCAGTTCTACTGTTTTCAGATTCCCATTTAATTTTGCTGTTTTGTTTTCTTTATACTATCCCCAGAGCGGTGTCTGCAGGGTCACGGCACAGAGGGGCTGTCAGCAGCCTGGAGCTGTGAGCAGCCGGGATGACTCTGACCCGCCTGCAGGGAGTGGGGCCCTGGAGCCCCAGAATCAGCCCCCAGAGCTGGCCCTCCAGAGCAGCACAGGCCTTTCTCCTCTTGATTCCCTGAATCACCTCCTCTTGATTCCAGGAATCTCCCTGCCACCCCAGCATTGGGGAGTTGGGGAGGATGTTGAGGCTCAGGAAATGGGGGCCTCCTCCTAACCATCTGTCCTCTCCTCCTCTCTCTCCTTCATCAGCCTGAGTGTGCGTGTTTGAGTCACACCAGCCCTGCACGGACAGGAAAGGCCCAGAACCTAAGTGATTCCCTAATCAGTTACAGCTCCAGCCCCTCTGCAGTCCCACCAGGGGAGACAGAGACTCTCCCAGCCCCAGCCAGAGCCGCGTCACCCACACAGACCTTCCCCTCACAGTGTCCCTGATGCTGCCCCTTCCTGGCCCCACCCTTCCTGGTGCCCCCACCACTCCTTTGGGGCCCCATCCCCTAGTCCCCATTTTCATCCTCTGCTCCATTTCCAGGAGCCTCCCCGTCTTCCTAGTCATGCCCTGGGGGCTCTCCTCAACCTCCCCTCATTCAGGGATGGAGAATTTTTAAAAGATGTATATTTGTTTATTTATTTCCTTACAGCGTGGGTCATCTTTCTATAGTTATTGTTCCTCTTAGGTGCGGCCCTTCCACCAATGATCCACCACACACCACCACCAGCTCCCCGGGTCTCTCCCCGGCTCTGATCACTCCTGCTCCCCCTGCTGCAAGACGTGGATGGTGGTTGGCCCCGGGTCTTGGTGTTTTCCTGGAACCTTGTCCTTTTCTTGGGCGAGGCCCTGGGCTCCTGGGTAGAATTGAATGTTAATTCCCTGGAAGCAGAAGCAGAAACAAAGTACAGAGACTCTGGAGTCCAAGGATCCATCCGAGACCGAAGGAACCTCTACATTTGGGGATCAGCCCATAATCTGGGAATCAGCTGTAATGACCTGGAAACCTGCTTTTGTCCTTTGTCCATAGGACTAAGAAAATTGGAGGACTTCTGACCTGACACTGGACTTGGGCGCCCCCTTGTGTGCAGATCCCTGTCCTGCCGCTGGGGGCCCAGGGAGCCTGGGGAGGGCCTGGCTGAGCAGGAGAAAGGGCGGCTCTGGGCGCCTGTGCTCAGCCCTGTGGCCACACGGGGGCGCTGCCGCGCTGCTCCGGATTTGGTGGCGCCGCCAGGACGGGGCGGGGGCTGAGGTGGGCACAGCTGGGGATGCTGGAGGGTGGCGACCTGGGGGTGAGATGCTCTGTGAGGAGTCAGAGCAGCAGGGCTTAGAGGAGAGGAGACTCCGGAGCCTGCCCTGTGTGTGAGGTTTCCATCTTTTCTCCCAGAACCCTCTCTCCAGTCCCTGGACGGTGATACCTGGAAAACTGGAAAAGAAAAAAATTTTTCTTTATATAACCTATTAAATATTGAGAGTATTTTAAAAAATAACATTTAAAGAATACTGTTCGATTTACAGAAAAGTTGCAAAGGCAGTACACGTCTTGTTTATCCCACACCGTTTCCATTTTGTTAACATCCTGCATGAGTACAGATTTTTCTTTTACCACTAATGCAGCAATGTTGACATAATAACTAAACGCCATACTTTAATTCGTTTTTGCTAATGTCCATTTTATGCCCAATAATCCCATCCAGTTTGCCTGGATGACAGTTTCTCAGACTTTCCTTGTTTCCTTGGGAGAGGTGTTGGGGTCACAGATGGGGGTTCTTGGGTCACCTCTAAGAAAAACTTCACCAGAGTCCTTTCAGTGGGGTGAGGGCACACACACACACACACACACACACACACGCACACATATGAAAAGAAAGAAGTCCATGCTTGCACAGACACAAATTGGCAGGAGGACCTGATCCTGGAGGGGGGGCGGTGTTGGGGAAGCCTGTTAGTGGAGGCTCATTAGAACTCTGTTGGTGTGTGTGGTGTGGAATTACACATTTTAATAAGTGTGAAGCTGTACTCCAAAAATTTATACAGTGTTATAAACTAGTGTAACACACGCATATATATATTAATTATTGCTTTTGGGTGTTTTGCTTACAATACTGCTAAAAGCCATGATCCATTACGGAGGTCTTACTATGTGGGCCTCTTAGTTGAATCATAGTCTTTGGTATACTATCAGCTTTCCAATCCTCAGATATGGAGGAAATTTCTAATTCCATTTATACCACATCTAGGTCATGGGTAAGAAAATGTTTGCTCCTCAGTTGATCTATGTAGCCAACATCTGCATCAGTAATATAGAAAATCCTTGAATTTCC